CCTTCGACTCCTGTATCCGGCAACCCATTCGACATATGAACATCTCTAGATGCTACTAATTTTTCTACTTTCTCGCGAACTCGTCAAGTAGTGCTTTGTAGATTCTCGTGAGGAAAATATGTTGTACAATACGAAGTCGACTTGGCTTCATGGGGTTGCTCAACAATCCCGGCATGTGGTAAATATCTTCATCATTTCCATCCTCCTCTAGAGGGGAATTTTCACTTCACTCAGTGGAGTTGCTTCTGAAGGGTCTTATGGCCCGAAAGTAGTCATGTATCGTATTACAAAACTCCGTTGAATACATTTTTACTCATGTTTCGTTTACCACTGCATCCTCAATCTGTCGTGTTCATATGTGAATTACACAAGGATATTATCAACCACCTAGATGTCATTAGTAATATCCATTGAATTACCACAACCCCACTTCAAGATAAAATCATCCCAACGGGAATATCCACCAGTACTTTTCATCCCTCATGTACAATACGATTCATAAAAAAAACCCCTCTCCCTGCGATTACGCGGTAATTGACACTTTGAGTATAAACGGTAATCCGGCGTTTGATAAAAACTAAGCACACCAATCGAATATCAGCGACGGCAGTCAAGTTATACCTTTTGTTCACAAATCGTAACTTCCCGCAAACTTGTGTGAGCTTAGCTTTCTTTACATCGCCCTTTAGATGAAATTATGGCATTTTTATATCACTCTAGTTTGATGGGCGAGTTATGAATGCCCGTTGTGCTTACCGTTCTCGGAGAGATTTTATTTCGCATTCTCGTGACCAATATGAATTCACTAATAAACTCAACCAGAGAACTGCAAGAAATAAGGTTCGATAAGTTAGACTCTACTCTGATTTTGTGGCGCGTGACACAATACAATTACTGTGAAATCTCTCTCACCACCAATAGCGAACACGTGGGGCACCTTTTCCGTCTGAAAATCGACAACATATCACATCGCTCCGCCTCCAATTGTCATTACATCCTTTTCCCTTTCCCTTTCCCTTGCCCTTGCCATAAGGCGGATAATAGTAACCACCCATTGTCGACCACCCCTTCCCCTTGCCAACAGGTACATAATAGTAATACCCATCGTAGTAGTCCCAGGACCCATAGCCTCCACGATAGCCCTTACCACTGCCCTAAGGGAAGAATTATCATTATCCAGTGTTATATAACAACTAATAATTATTATATACCACACTTCCCCGAAATTACCTTTCTCCCTTTGCCTTTTCGACCGCCATATCTCGGCGCCTCTCCGAAGTCAGACTCAGAGTTCCTGACAACACAATCACGATCCACCATGAAAAACGAAACCAATATTGATGACGAAAAAGAAAACATCATTGCGCGAGTCAATACCCTTCGTGGTCGCTCTCGTCAACCTCCGAATCTGGCAAGGGCTCTTGATACCCCGGCTTGGACTTATCCAAAGGCTTAGTTGACATCGTTATAGTCGCCAAAGACACCATTCGGGTAGTAGTCTCCTTTTCCTACAAACGAGATGCTTGACCACGATCCGAAGCTGATCCTACTCCTCTCACTCTTCGACCATCATTCCTGTCCAAAGTCTCTTGGAGTTCAACCGCTGACAACTGAAAAAGGTGCAAACTGGACCTCTTTCGTATCATACCACGCTGAACCTAAGATACCTCAGTCAACTGATATAGCCCACGATATCTCCTCTTCAAAGTCTCAGCCACATTGACCGCCTTCGAGATGGCTTGCCCAGACGCAACGATCTGAAACGCACCCAAGATACCACCGCACAGTGAAGAATTTAAGATACCACCGCACGACCGAGAACAAAAGATACGACCGCACAGTGAAGAATAAAAGATACGACCGCACAATGAAGAATAAAAGATACGACCGCACAGTGAAGGATAGAAGATACGACCGCACCTCGAAGACTTTAAGATACCACCGCACAGTGAGGAATAAAAGATACGACCGCACAGTGAAGGATAGAAGATACGACCGCACCTCGAAGACTTTAAGATACCACCGCACAGTGAGGAATAAAAGATACGACCGCACAGTGAAGGATAGAAGATACGACCGCACCTCGAAGACTTTAAGATACCACCGCACAGTGAGGAATAAAAGATACGACCGCACAGTGAAGGATAGAAGATACGACCGCACAGTGAAGACTTTAAGATACGACCGCACAGCGGAGAATGAAAGTGATGACCGCACAGTGAAGAATAAAAGATACGCTCTGACCTTGATTGTGTCTCTTCCATCCTCCTGTAATAACCTAATAGCATATCTCACATACGGTGTGAGTCGACCCACGGCGGTGACTCTAACCTAAGATACGCAAAGATTCAAAACAGGTCCAAAAGCGACCAAGATATGCTCACCTCGCCATCCTCAGGTGTCGAAGATTCCACTGCCATTTTCACTGCAATGCTAAAAAACTATAAACAAGCAATTATCGGGCGAGCGGCTTTTGCAACGAACCACTCCACCAACACAATACCAAAAGCTGGCTGGAAATACTACAAAATATCTTTAGGTTGAGCTAGCAAGATACAAAACAGGTCAGGTACGCCGCTTCTTCTTCTTATGGTGATGCTTGTGCCGCGGGCGCTCCGTATCCGACTCGTCCTCCAGACTAATCACCGATCGACTACCCGAAGACGAGCCGATCGATTTCATCCCACTCCTCTTAATAGCAATCTCTCTATATTTTCTAGCATTTACATGATCAGGTTTAACTCTCAAAGCTCCTTCAAAACACTCAACAGCTTCACTGTACTTCCCCTTACTCGTCAAGGCAGCTCCCTTAGCCACTAAGGCATCAGGGTGGTCAGGCTTGAGACTCAACGCTGAATCATAGTATACCAACGCCTCGTCCAAGTTACCACCAGCACGGTGCTTGGCCAGGCCTTCTCTCAGGCGTCGAGACGCCCACTGCTCGCTCTGGCGTGCCGTGTCTTTACGAGTTGTAAAGACCCTAGCTGCAAATCGATCAACAGGATCGGGAGAATCTTCAGATCCGATCTTGCACCGCACTGCATAGGAAGATACATCATACCATTTACGATCAGCTTCAAGTCGCCCAGCCAGACCCCGAGACATGTCACCTGGCCACACCCGTTCTATCTCTTCAACAACACCAACACTGCCTTCCCATTCTGACCAACTCCGCAGACTCACATAACCTTCAATAGCGACGATACCCAAATTCTTCCGCGTGCGCCCACCACAAGATTCTCGCGGCAACCACAAGTTCGACTCCGCATGATCTCGCAACAAATTCTCAGGAATGAAACTCAAGACGCTCTTCTTACACCACATACATCGAGCCGCCATAATTTCGCTATTCTCCTCCAATTCGAAACACTCCAGCGGATAGCATTTCCCAAACCCCGGCAACTCGACCGACGGCCCCTCGCCCAACCACGCCTTCACAAACTCAGGCGCTCCCAAAATCTTCTCTGTGCGCAACTGCGCATATCTTCGCTCATACACGCACTGGCAATAATCATAATTCTTCGAAAAGTATCTTGCTGCTGCACAAGAAGATTCAGAACAGGTCGGGATTTCAGTTCCGGCCAAAAGAGCCTCATTGGTCTCCCAAATGTCCCTTTGACACGACGCCGATTCAGAACGCTCAGGCACTCTCACAGCTAAGCTCCGTAACACACTAAGATCAAGCGAAGGTGGGGTAATGGCCATAAAACCAACCTACTTTGAATCTTACCAAGATCAACCTAAGATTCCCCCAACACAACATCGGATAGAAAACTGTCTACTTCTCCATGAAATCTGCATCGCTCCGCTGTACTAAAACCATATTCAGTCTCAACCACTCCAACCGATCGACGTAGTAGACATGAAACCAACCTACTTTGAATCTTACCAAGATCAACCTAAGATTCCCCCAACACAACATCGGATAGAAAACTGTCTACTTTTCCATGAAATCTGCATCGCTCCGCTGTACTAAAACCATATTCAGTCTCAACCACTCCAACCGACCGACGTAGTAGACATAAAACCAACCTACTTTGAATCTTACCAAGATCAACCTA